GTGTTTGTTAATCCATTGTTTCACTCCTACTTGTAATATTAACAAACACTTCTAGATGGCTGAATGTTAAGATTCCATTGTTTCACTCCTACTAGTAATATTAACAAACACTTCTGATGGCTGAATGTTAAGATTCCGTTGTTTCACTCCTACTTGTAATATTCAGCCATCTAGAAGTGTTTGTTAATATTACAAGTAGGAGTGAAAGAATGGAGTATTTTTTCTTGTAGGCTGACTGGCTTTACAGAAAGACAAAGCACACAACTTACATCACACATGGATGGTCGCATTACTAATGAGAGGAAGTTTTTATGTAACTTTCATACAACTTTTTCGTGAAAGTTCAGTAATCTTCATCTGGTGTGTAAACTATCAATGATTAGAAATTAAAATTAGACAAAACATGAGTTACAAAGTAGCCGGCATTTGGATTATAACCAACTTGTCGGTATAAAAGTATTTATTACTAATTCCACTTCTTTATGATTGAAATAATCTTAAAGAAAACCCATTTAAAGTGTACGTCATACGGCTGTGAAAAGTTAGTCTGTTCTACAGCAAACATCATGCTTACTGTGTTCTTTCTGAAGTCCAGAAAGTTTCAATTTGTTTGCTTCATGCTGAGCCTTTTTCTTTAGTCGACAGACCCTGAAAACAAAAACAGATTTACTACATGTAACGTGATAATAAAACAACACAAAGTACTCAAAGATAGTCGACAGACCCTGTTTTTGTTTTCAGGGCCTGTCGACTATCTTTGACCACTTTGTGTTGTTATATTATCACGTTACATGTAGTAAATCTGTTTTTGTTTTCAGGGTCTGTCAACTATCTTTGAGTACTTTGTATTGTTTTATTATCACGTTACATGTAGTAAATCTGTTTTTGTTTTCAGATTTACTACATGTAACGTGATAATATAACAACACAAAGTGGTCAAAGATAGTCGACAGGCCCTGAAAACAAAAACAGATTTACTACATGTAACGTGATAATATAACAACACAAAGTACTCAAAGATAGTTGACAGACCCTGAAAACAAAAACTAACTTACTAAATGTAGAAAGATAACACACAAACATGAAGTAAAGAATCTGAAAACAAAAACTAACTTACTAAATGTACAAAGATAACACACAAACATGAAGTAAAGAAAGACAGTCGATAGAATCTGAAAACAAAAACTGACTTACTAAATGTACAAAGATAACACACAAACATGAAGAAAAGAAAGAGAATAACATTTCATACAGGTTAATAATGAAGTATGTTTTATACAGTGTTTTATAATTAGTACTAAATATCCTAAGAACAATATTGCTATATAATGTTGGTTGCTTATAACTTGTACCAAAAGAAAAGTATTTAACATTTTTAGAGTTTCATCACTATATGCTTTTTATTACCAAGTGGCTTCTAACAGAACTTGAAATTATAAACATATGACGCACGCTTGTTTAGCGACTCAAGGTGTCTGAAAATTCAGCTGTAAAAGGATGCAAGTACACATTTACCCTAATTGTATGTACACAATATAAATTCATGATTGAGTCATTAAAAACCTTATTCATGCTCATTCCTCAGAGGGAAATGTTTTTAAAGACAAAATTCTAGAATAATGTCTTACACACTGGTTCATAGCTCTAGAATAGTAGAGAAAAAAACCATCTGTGCAATGGGAAAAGGAGAGGTGAGCAAGAATGTGGCGTCCTATTCTATAACATTGAGCAGGATGGGAGACAGCTGAGCTCGACTGAGAGATGAGATATAAATAAAAAAAATACTTAAGACTGATGACATGTTGAAGTGGAGCAAGAATAGATATTGCAGTCTCGAAAGGGAAGCCCGCCTGGGTTGTATCTGAAAGCAGAATCGGGATGTGATAGTGTAACAAATGATGAGATGTTGCAAGCAGTGACCAGTCATCCGTGAAATGGTGTGTGCACAGTATGATGGAATGATGGGGATAAGAAAAAAACTTATATGATACGGGAGAACCCATGTGAGTACAAAAGGAAAAACCTGGAACTGCAGTACTTTGCCCTTGTGCACCACAAACACAGAGAGTGGTGGGACTCCACCAATAAGGCAAAATGCAGATAGGAGTCGACTACAACCAAGTTGGACACCTGCAGTCCCAGTAAAAAAAATCAACACAGATTGAGAAATGAGTACCTTGTGAACCTTGGAGAATCTAGGCATTGATACAGACAAGGAAGATCTATGACTGGACACCAATCTCCTGTCTGCATAGGCCCAACAACTGACAGGAATAAAAACTCTGAATATGACTGGACACCAATCTCCTGTCTGCATAGGCCCAACAACTCACAGGAATAAAAACTCTGAAGAAGTAGCCCGACTCTCTCACTACCTCGAGACCAACCAGACTCAACCCTAGAACTAAGTTCCAAATCCCAACAACTGACAGGAATAAAAACTTTGAAGAAGTAGCCCGACTCTCTCACTACCTCGAGACCAACCAGACTCAACCCTAGAACTAAGTTCCAAATCCCAACAACTGACAGGAATAAAAACTCTGAAGAACTAGCCCGACACTCTCACTACCTCGAGATCAACCAGACTCAACCCTAGAACTAAGTTCCAAATCCCAACAACTGACAGGAATAAAAACTCTGAAGAACTAGCCCGACACTCTCACTACCTTGAGATCAACCAGACTCAACCCTAGAACTAAGTTCTAAATCACAATGAACTGCAGGAGATGAAAACCCTACAGGTTGGGTAGATAAAAGTGGGGAAGATGTGAACTGAATGACCAATTGTGGCCTAAGGACCGACAGAGTACTTGGACCAATGGATAAGGTTACCACACGTCCATAAGTTCTTGGAATTGAGCCCCCACATCCTCTGAAGGTATACAATAATCACCAATGCTGCTGGTGCTCAGACTAAGCAGTGGTAAACCTATTCTGAGTACTAATATACCAAGGGGCTCATGTCGGGGGTCGGGACTCACGATTAAGGGCGAAACTATGACCCCCCTATAGGAGCCAATGAAATTTGTAAAATAAGTAAATGAAATAAGTAAAAACAATATCAAACTACACAAGGTTCAGAGAATATAAAACATCATAACACCTTGCTCTTTTAGCACCAACATCACCTAGCAATGCCACGTTACCTTGGTGAAACGTTCAAGTGTTTCCGACTAAATTAAAACCTTTTACGAATGTTACTTCGACTTGGCTTACGTAACTTTATTTTGATGAGTTTACTCAACTACTGATAATATCAGTTACGTTAGGGTTAGTGAAGTTACTGGAATATTAAGTTATGGAAAGAGTTTAATTTTGTGGAAGACTGCGTCTTGTTGTTATAAACAAATCTCAACGTATAGTTGAAACATCCAATTATCGCACGTTGTAATTAGACTTCCAAGTATCATTAGTCAATAAAACAAAATGTGAAATGATATACAGGTCAACTGGTCGGTTATTTTAAAATAACTTTTTCCTCACCTAGAAGCTAACTTGTTCTTTTCTTTGCGAGATTTTGGTTTTGCGTGTGCTTCTGGTGACAGGTCCTTTATTTCTTCATTCAACTGCTTTAGCTGTAGCCCAATGTTATAAAGCTTTTGAGGGTTCGGAGTTAAATCATTTCCATCACCTCTTCTTGCTTTCCCCGAATGCCTAATTCCAGTCAAGGAACTGTCCTTTGTAAAAACAGGATCAGTTATATCGTTCAGGACGTGTGGATCGTCTTGAAAGTTACTCGGGTAACTTGAACGTTTGTTTACTCCTTTCGACTGAGAATTGTACTGCCAAAAATAACATCTTAACTTCTTTCTCTTTCCATGCTGAATCATTTTGTGTTCAACATCTGCATCTATTAACTTCTCTCTCTTTTCACTGGTTTCAAAAAAATCTAGAGTGAGAAGAACAGGAAATATTAATTGGTATTTACTTCAGACTTCTAAATGCAAAAAGATGTAGTTAAATGTAATTAAAACACGTGTTTATACATTTACCAGCAAAGGAAGATCAAACCAACTGGGGAGAGCCAACCAGATTTACGTGTCGTTGTCTGTAAGTAAGACTTTTATATACTGAAAAATATCTTAATTTCAGAAGACAGTAATTTGATCAAAAAGGTTGATTGGTTTATGTGTTCACTATCCGAGGATCAGTCGTGTGGAACTTGTTGAAAACGGGTGGAAATTATTATACAAAATTGACCCAGACTGCAAAAATGTTTATGTTTAGAGGAAGTTAGCTTAATTAAAGTAGGAGAGACCACTGTGTATGTTTAGAGGAAGTTAGCTTAATTAAAGTAGAAGAGACCACTGTGTATGTTTAGAGGAAGTTAGCTTAATTAAAGTAGAAGAGACCACTGTGTATGTTTAGAGGAAGTTAGCTTAATTAAAGTAGGAGAGACCACTGTGTATGTTTAGAGGAAGTTAGCTTAATTAAAGTAGAAGAGACCACTGTGTATGTTTAGAGGAAGTTAGCTTAATTAAAGTAGGATAGACCACTGTGTATGTTTAGAGGAAGTTAGCTTAATTAAAGTAGAACAGACCACTGTGTATGTTTAGAGGAAGTTAGCTTAATTAAAGTAGAAGAGACCACTGTGTATGTTTAGAGGAAGTTAGCTTAATCAAAGTAGGAGAGACCACTGTGTATGTTTAGAGGAAGTTAGCTTAATTAAAGTAGAAGAGACCACTGTGTATGTTTAGAGGAAGTTAGCTTAATTAAAGTAGGAGAGACCACTGCCTTTCAGAAACATCCGCATCGAATTGAAAATATTTCAAAGTTATGGGATTACTGGTGAGAGAGAGAGAGAGAGAGATAGAAAGAAGAAGAAAGAGACCTATAAATTTGAGGAAAGGGGGTTGTAAGAGAATCACCTTCTCAACTGGAACTAGGGGGGGGGGGTGGAAAGCTCCTAAGGTTTCAGCATTTTAAATCATAAAAATTGCTTCTCAGGTAAGACATTTTCATTGCAAAATCAATAATTTGTTACTATCATAACACCCTTTAATATAAAAATATTTTTTACGTTTATTATTGTCTTTTTTTCAATAAAATAAAGTTATTTTAACACCAAAAGAAAACAAACTTGGTTATGTTTCACCTTCTAGTATGGTAAGCATTGTGACTAAATTTATGGGAACAGTATCATTATTATCTGCACACCATCATAGAAACTGTTAAAAAAAATGGGCAGTCATCTTGTGAAAGTCTTTAGATTCAAAATAATACTAAAACCTTAATGCATCTTATCATATAAATAACTAAGTAAAGAAGTTCAAAAAAAAAAAACACCAAAGTGCTGATCCAAATATTTTATTAACCTACTGACAATATGCTACTTAATTTGACCATACATCAGGTAATTAATATTTATTATCATATTTTACATATAATTTTATTTCTAACTTTCTAGTACACAGTTTTATTAGTAGCATACGGTCTACTTACCATTCATTTCACCATCTGAATGATGTTCATCAACTGATATAACTGATGTGTTGCTTGAGTCGCACGTCTTCAAGTTGGTGACAGCAAAATTCTGCTGGCTTTGAAGGGTAGATTCACAAATGTTAGTAGATTGGAAGATCTGAGAGAAGCATTTATCCGAAGTTTTACATTTTACTTCAACAGACTTGGGCAAATATAAACTTCCAATATTAGAACATCCTTTTCCATATTCAAGAGGCTTCGAAGGAATGGGACTAAATAGCCTCTTTGATTGAGTGCACTTAATAGAACTGACCGGATGAACGTTTGCAGGTTTGGTGTCGTATTTAACGAAGCCACTGCACTGAAAATCTTTTGTTTGTTTTGCTGGAAACATATTGTCTGATGAAGAGTTACTTTTCAGCAAAGCTTGTTCTTCAGGTAAATTAGACCATTGCTCAAATTCCAGTACATCAAATAGACACTCGTCTTTGGAATTGAGTTCGGCTAAAGTTGGCCCTTGGATAAGGTCGTCTTTTTCCACTTGAAACACATCATCCATTTTAAAACTTTCTGGGTCATCAGAAACAACCCACGGAGACAATAAACTCTGGGATTCGAAGTCCATTTCTTCGTGAACTCCAAACCCAACAGGATCTTGAAGATTTGTGCTCACGTTAAGTTCATCTTCTATGTTTACTCCCCACAAACCAGGAATCTTTAGGAAATTTGTTTCATTATTTCTGCTGCCCAGCTCAAGAGCATTACTTGTGAAAACATTATAGCCATCTCCCTTAAAAGCTTGATTTGACTGGAATGTTTCTTCGTTCTTTTCCTGGCTTAGGGATGTCTCTTTTGTTAGCTTCTCAAAGCAATTCATTTATGAGTTGAAACTTAGTTAATAACACAGTAATCAGTTTCTTTGTGATGTATAGCTCTGTAAGGAAAAGTGCAAAAAAAAAAAAATTATAATTATAACTTGCATTATAAACCTTCCAAAAATTAACATGGATCCAACCACTTTTCTCAGCTATTTATTTACCAAATTATTTGTAGGTTCATGACTTTTTTGGTTAATGGAACCATAACAGCTTACGAGTCACACAAAAATACCACTAATATTCCAGTTAACTTCGGTACTTACTGTCAGGGTTCCATAGGTATTCTATGTTACAATTTCACCTAATATTTTATCAGTTCTTTACAGCGAGTGTTTTAACATCGGTTTACTCGAGATGATTTAATACATTGACCCTCCCTGATTAAAAAAGTAAGGGCACAACAATTAATATTCCCCTGCCATCCCTCCCATCAATACAAATCACTGGAAGGTTAGTCCGTATATTAGCATTACAGCACAATGCTAAGACACAAATTACATTTCTCACGCTTAGTTAAGGGCTAAGTTTTTCACTAAGAATATTAAATTTCATTAAACTATAAATAGTAGGGTTTATTTCTAATTTTCTTTACCAGTTATAGTTGTAAAAACCTATACCAAAATAAAAGAAATAAAAATTATTCTACTTAAAAAATCTTTCTGGGATACTTTGTAATCAATCAATCAATAAATAAAAGTTGTATATTAGTAACAGAATAATTTACAAGGCACACACACACACGGACAAAAAAAAGAATTAACTAAAACAGCCTTCTTACCAAGGTCTTACTAGTAATTAAAGTATTTTGTACAGAAACTACAAAAGAATAAAATAATAATATTTATGGACAACAAGAGACCTATTGGTTTATCTAAGCTGTCCCATCCACTATAAACTATTATAACAAACTCAAAGCCAATGCTCAACTATTTATCAAGCCTTCCCTTGCATCCTGCTTCCACCATATCTGAACGTAACTACCCTATCATAAAAATACCCTTATCTCAGTGGAATACGAGTCCTAACATGCCAAGTTTTATTTCTGTGTTCTCAAGTTCATCATTAAGTGTGAAAAAGAAGATGATGCATCAACATTACCAATTCACTTAACAATCTTAAACACCTCAATCAGATCACCGCTAACTCTTTTTATTTTCAAGAGAAAATTATTTCAGAGATCTTTTTTCCATCCCAGGTATCATCCAAAAGGTCCTTCTCTGAACCCTTTCCAACAATTTAATGTCCTTTCTAAGGTACAGCATCCAAGAATGAACACATTACTTCCAATGTGGCCTAATTCAGTGACCAATATAATTAAATTATAACCTCTTTAGAAGTGTAATTAATATTTCTGTAGATACAACCTAAAATCTTATTTGCTTTACCTCTAGCTGTAGAGCAATATTTGGATGGCTTCAGAAACTGATAAGCCAATACACCCAGATTAGACTTATCTTACCATAACGGACATATCGCGTATATCAGTATCTATGTATGCAACAAAAACGTCTTTGCCATCTATTGAATGGCACCACAAACAATAATCCACAAAAAATCTCACACTTCGGGTATTCAAGATTCAGACAATTATAAAAATAACTGTGGTATGTGCAACAACCATTTCTTTTATAATATAACACAATTTTAAATAGAAGTACTCTCCTCACAACAATAACACAACTTTCACTAGGACTGTATGTGAAGGTTTCATTATCTTTATTGATGTAATATATAAATGTAGTACTGAGAAACTGAAGTTCTTAAAAAAAAAAAAAACACTATTATTCTTTCAATAAACAGTGCCACTTTTAATATATAAAAACATTACCATTTATATCAGTAAAATTTGTGGAAATTCTTATCTCTGTACATTCAATCATTTTGATGCAATGAGTTGTGTATGACGAAAGAGAACAATCCGAACACTTTTCCCCGAGCAGTACTTCTTAGAAAAAAAAAAATCTTTTCTAAGAAAATGTTCACTTTTTTCTACATTTTTATTTCAATGAGGTATAAATACTACGATTAGTAATTAAAATTATGGTATCCCACATATATTATCTTGAATTTATCATAATTAAAACCCATCTGCCATTTATTCGTCCAACTCACTACATCAGGGATTCCCAACCTTTTAATTCCTCTGTACCCCTTGGGCATTCTCTCCCAAAGCACTAATGGAAAGAGGAGAGCTTGCCCAGTTGGCTGATCCCTAGTTTATCAGCTGATTTGTAACGAGGGTGTTCTATATTGCTCATGTTCTACATTACTTATTGAAAACACGAGTTATAATGTAGCACAGCAATAACATCACAACTTTTTGTCTGAAGAGCGTATATTTATGTGAGCCACTTTATCTGACTGTAGATTAAAACACCATGTAAAGTGTAAACCATGGTTATACACTCAGACCCCTATGTACCCCCCTGAGAAGTGCAAATGTACCCCAGGTTGGGAATGTCTGCACTACATGATCTAACACACACACACACAAGGGGAATAGTTACCAGCCCTTATCCTTGGTCATTTAAAGTTGCTGAACTCAGTAAAATAGAATTTCGGACCATAAAAGTTGTCACTGGCATTAACGAAACAAACCAAACCATAAAGTGATGTTTGGAAAGTTTGAAGCCATGGAAAGGATCCATGCAAAATTCACAGGTAAATATGAAATATTTGGTAATGATTGGGAACAATAAGGTAATGATATAAATTATTATCTGTAGAACTTGTAGTAAATATGTCACAAAATTAACATTTACTCTCTAATGATGACAACAACAATAATTTAAACACTCCTGAAGTCACAGAGTAAGCCAATATTCAGGTTGTACCAATGCAGAAACATTCATTAACAGCTACCATAAATGTTTGCTTATTTATTAGAAACGTCAATGTTTTATGATCAGTCTGACTGTAGCTTTTATAATTAAATTTTCCTGCCAAAGAAACACTGTTAAACCTACTACAAACAGAGCTGACCAGTTAGCTCAAGTAACTGATTAGTGTCCCATAAAATAGGGTAATACATCTCTAGTGTGTTACAAATCCTGTACTTCAGACAATCTACATCATGTATTTTATATGGTAATACATCTCTAGTGTGTTACAAATCCTGTACTTCAGACAATCTACATCATGTATTTTATATGGTAATACATCTCTAGTG